GCCACGACAGGGTAGAAATTACCTGGAGCTGTGTATATTTTACTTGGAGGCTTGAACTAGGTTAACGATGTATAATAGCCACGACATAGTATGAATTTTACCACTGGGCTGGAGGATTGCTCACCCCTCTCTTTTTCAGGTTGATCGAGCTGACGGCTGACACGAGCTGACGGGCGTGGTCATTTATGTTATTATGTTACCGTGAAACTGTTTTAGAACTTGTATTTGGTTGGATTGTTTTAGATTGAACTATGTTTTGAATATCGATATTGGGAATGTATTAGAGTGTTAATTTATATTCGAAATTGTTTTGAAGGAAAGAAAGGTTTTTGAGTAATGTCCGTTGAGTTATTTTAGAAAATGATCATTAAAAGTTCAAATTATGTTATGAAAATCCACATTTTATTTTAAATAAATATTCGAGCATTACAAATGACATTATGAATTACTATGTTATTTATCGACATTGCCAACTTCGATTAAACCAAAAATATTGTGCACAAAAAAGAATTTAGTTATATATTACTTATCTATAATTTTATTATTACATATGTAGACCAAATATTGTTGTACTATAGTTTTAATTATTGTATGAAAAATTATTTTTGTTTAATTTTAAATACAGTTCCAATCTTACATTAAAGGAGTAATTCCTAATGCTTGTTTTTCCAAATATCAAACTTGAGTAAAGTTTTTGTGTCTATAATTTTGATAATATCACCTTGTCATATAAAAAGAACTTCCCATGTTTAAAACGCCAAGAACGGTGTATATAGAGTCGAAACACTACAAGCACGATCCTTATATTACAATCCGAATACAAATTATACCCAGGGTGCCCTGGAAATATTAGTACATATAACTGATGGGTCTGCTCTCAGATCTGGAACGGTTTGGTGAGAAAACGTCCGGATCTGGGATGAACCGGAATGAACGAGCTTAGATCTGGCCTGATGACCTTCGAGCCGTTGCTGAATCGTACGAACACCTGCAAGAACTCAACGCCGGAGGGTTTTTCCGGCGTAGAGCCTCCGACGCTCAAGTCAGTATGTGAGAGAGATGATGGGAGCTGCTATCAGAGCAGCAGCAGTAATAGAAAGGTATGGAATGAATGGGAGTTAGGGTTTTGGGATTACCTCAGTCCTTTATATAGGAGTACAATATATACCTGAAGTCCCCAAAATGCCCTGGCCGACTTAAAGGAAAGGTCCAGAATACCCCGGTCGGTTCATATTCCGCCTACTTCCTAGTCAGCATCTAGATCCTTCCTTAGCTTCCTTCTTATCCTTAACTTTCCTTCAATATGCGGAGGTGTGTCAAAGCTATCGGACACCTCGAACTGCAAGACTCCTTCAGTCGACTTGAGGTATCGAATCGAGTCGACTGGATCGCATTCCATCATTAATGGTCCCTGATTCGTCTAATCGCTGTCGGGGCATATGTCGACTCGTTCCAGTCGACGGATATATGTCGACTCGGTCGAGAGCCGGGCTTCTTGATTGAATACCATGAAACCCTACCGGCGGAGTCGACTGTGTTATAGTCGACTTTGGCAGTTCCGAACCAGGATGATATGAACCGCTATGAGCCGATTGTGACCATGCCGCGGTTACTGAACCGTGGCACGATAGTATGGCTATATCATCTAGTCCCCCCCAAAATTACTCGAAGCGACTCTGAGCTTACGAGTAGATTTTGTCGATTGGATGTTTTCCTCGGATCTTTTTTATATGTCGTCATCAATTATCATCTCGGGTTGCGTTCATTCATTACCTCGACTCGTTTTTCGCGAATTCTGACTTGATTAGATAAGTCTGAATCTTTTCAAATTTCAAAATCCAAAGGATGACATTTTCTCTCTCCGCCGCTTCGTATTCTGTGCCCCATCTTGACCGTTGAAAATGACTTTAATCCGAGGGTTAGGGTTTCTTTGCCCTTTCTATAAGTAACCCTCACCTTTCCTCATCATCACTTTTCGCACTCCTCTCTCTCAAATTTTCTAATTTTCTTCGGCAATCGCAGCTTTCCGGCGCTTCTATTCTCCGGCACCCTTTTCCGAGTTCTCAAGACTTTCCGTCAGGCATCATGAGTATGAGTAAGCTTTCTCGGCCTG